CACACACACACACACACACACACACACAAACACACGTGAAGGCACACACACACAGACACACACGCTCTCCCACACACACACACACACTTGAAAGCACACACACGCACACACACCTGTAAAGCATTGCTCTTCCTGTTAGCACAGAGATTTGGAAAAATTGTGAATTTAGTTTGAGCACATTTACAAACAAGTTTATGAATCCTTTAGAATTGTATGATCCTCTGGATATAGACTGCCTGAGATGTGATCTTCTTCCAAGTATTAAATAAATACATCCATATTTAATTACACATACAAATGTGTCACAACATTATTGAACAAATTGTTGTACAATCTTGAAAAACAGAATTCTCTTTCTTAGTGCATGTCATACCAAAAAGAAAAAATCTCTTGATAATCTTTAAGAAAATATCTATTAACTATCTGCGCCTCCGAAATGTCATTATAGCTAATGTCGATAAAACCTAGATTCTGGTCTGTAAGGCTCACGTTTCATCATCGATTCCAATCAATCAATACCGAGCCCCACCCTACTGACTCTAACCTCTCATTTAAAAGAACAGTTCACCCAAAAATTTACATTTGCTATAAATGTGCTCATCTGAGGTGTAGATGAGTTTGTTTCTTCATCAGGTTTGTAGAAATGTAGCACTGCGTCAGTGTCTCAGCAATGGATGCTCTGCAGTGAATGGGTGCCGTCAGAATGAGAGCTGATAAAAACATCACAATAATCCACAGCACTCCAGTCCATCAGTTAACATCTGGAGAAGACACAAGCTGAAACACATCCAGCATTAAGATGTTTTTAACTCAAATACCATAGAGTCCATAATCCATAATAACTCTTCCTCCAGTGAAAAAGTGCATCTGCTGTTGTCTCTCATATGTGTTTAGAGCTGTTTAAACGCTGCTTGATCTGTGCAGATTTCTCTCCTGATTCACACCAGAACACTGACTCACTGGAGGAAGAGTTATTATGGTGGTTGAGGAGAGACCCCCCCCCACCCCACATGATTGTAAAGCGCTTTGGGTGTACAACAATACACAGTAAAGTGCTATATAAATGCATCATTCATTCATTCATTCATTATTATGGATTATGGCCTTGCATTTTCATTTTTTTCATTTTCATTTCTTGGGAGAAATATTCCTTTACTATACCTTTTCATAAATACATCACATCAACACGAGCCAATAAATTGCAACTCAATTCAGCAAACTGCATTTCAGAATATCATTATATCTACGATCAAAAGATATCTGAGTAAAAGTAAATGCAGAAGGAAATAAACGAAACCACATCAGAGTTAAAGCTGCTGGTCTGTATCAGGAATGAAAGCGAAACAATCAGCAGAGGTGAATGACACTGATCCACACTTCAACTGAGTCTTAAAGAGCCTTAACTGGTTTTATAATACTACATTTCTACTAAACCACTTATAATTAATCAATGGTAGAAATAATCTGAAATTCACCCATGTGTTCAACATATAGATTTAGAAACCGAAATGTTAAATTATACAAAGTCAGGCACATGAAGACGTCCTGCATTCAAACAGAGTCCAAATATTTGTTTCTTGGATGAAGTTCAAGTTCAACCCACCTGTTGGAGTCATTCATGCTGAAACAAAGTTCCCCTTCCACCGCATTTCGCCTGAACTCCACCCACCCGCGGCTCTACAGCTGCCCGCGGGCTCAGGTGAGCGCAGGTGAGCGCAGGTGAGGCATTCCGAGCGCGTCATGGCGGAGTCGCAGCTCCGGTGCTTGGAGGACGGGCTCCTGCCCGCCGCGGTGCCCGAATCCCGGCCGCAGTTCTACTACAGCGAGCAGCAGCGGGCGGCCCTGGAGCGCCTGATCGCCGACGGAGACGGAGCCTTCAAGAGCCTCCTGAAGGACGAGAACGGACAAGACTTCTTGTCGGCGCGGGAAATCAAGGCCATCACCGGCACCTTCGTCAAATACCAGAGCGAGGAAGACCATGGAGCGGATCGCGGCAGCCGAAAGGACGCCGGGTCCATGCGCTCCACGTACTGGCCGCAGATGTCGGACACCGAGGTCCCGCCGCTGGACATCGGCTGGCCCTCATCCGGGCTCTTCAAAGGGGTCACCCGGGTGTCGGTGCACACACACCCGCCCAAAGAGAACGGCCCGCACATCAAGGAGGTGGCCCGCAAACTCATACAGGAGTCCAGCAAGGTCAGCGCTCGTCCAGTATTGCATTAGTCATATCTTGGTAGATTACTGTAGTTTTCAAGTTACTGTGGAAAATTATCATAAATTATGAAAAGGTTTTAGTGTATAGGCTACACTGTAAAAAGTGGCAACCTGCAATTATTACCTTAAACAGCTATTTCTAACGTATTTAAACCTATAAAATAATTGTGTTTGTATAAATCATGTTTAAGTTGATTTGAAACCAGTTCATTTAAAGGTTGCCATTTTTCAGTGTATTTGCAGTCACTAGTAACTAGGCTATCAGCTGGTAACTATGGTTACCGTGATAAATATTTATAAGGGAATCCTCCTCATCATCTTCATCTTCATCATCAGTTTCGTTTTCTCTTCTCTTCTGATCGCTGTCTCTCCTTACACTGGAAATGTCAGGTATAGATGTGCCTCATGTGGTTAGCATCTAAATTAACTGGTTTATAATAGTACACTTCACAAAAAAGTGTGAAATTTAACTGCCAGCTTTGCGGTGGCAACATTGTATGCTTTAGAGATTTAACTTAAATGTACAGTAAAATGTATATATCATTAACTTAAACCATGTTAATATACAAAATTACTAAAATCTGTTTTTATATTTACACTGAAAAATGAATTAAATAAAATAGATAAAAACCGAAAACGTACTGGTGATTTTCTGCCGGGACGTTGTCCATTAATTTCACTGACTTTTGTGTGAACCCTAAAACACAACGGAATGAAGTGCACAATTCAAAATACAGGTAAAACACATGATAAAAAAATAATTTTAGGCCCTATTTTTAAGGATTTCTTTACTGTATATATTACACTGACAGCTCCTACACAGTGAACCATAAGTAGCTTTTCAGAGGTAACGAAATTGATCAGAAAAACTAAGAATTTCAATGAAAAACCAATCAAATGTGATCCGTCACACAGGAATCTGGGAATGCCAATATTACAGTTGGTTGCTTTCACTATCAAAAACGGTACTGTAACTGTAAAATTGCATGAAATGCCCCATTAGATCAGTTTTTCAGTTTTGTCGACTGTATTCGGGACCGTCACGTACATTCACAGGTCCTGGGACGCGTTTAGGTGGATCCTCTCACCCGGCCAATGAGGATAGACTATACATACAGGACCTGAGTGTGGCCCTCATGTCACAGGTCTCTCAGTTTCTCATCTCCCGCAGTGCTGGATGCTTTAAGATCTTGTTCAGACTTGATCTAACCGTCTGTTTCTTGAGGAACGACTGCACATGATCTGGAATCACTGACTCACTGAACGGACTCGACACGTAGCAGGAAATTACACACATTCTGTTTCCCAAAACATCTGTCCTGTGAAAGAAGCAGAAGTGTGTGTAACAACGCGCTGAGCTGACCGGTGTGACAGTGTGTTTAACTCTCGCAAATCTCGCAAGTCATCTTTCTGTCACAGTGCGTGTGGAGAGATGACGCGAGGACTCAAGTGCAGGATGAATGGTTCTTTCTTTTAATAATAAAACGAAACTAAAACAACCCGAGGGGGAAAACCAGACAGGCCGGCTTAGAACTGCACTACATGCAGACATAACACACACAATGAAAAAAGATGGCTCAGCACAGGATTACAGACACCAGGAGAATAAATAGGAAACCAAATGAGGAGGCTAGTGAGGGAGACACAGGTGGAGCAACTTAAACAATAATGAGGTAACGAGATGGGCGGGGCAAGACAAATAGACAGGCCAGAGCACATGGCACCAAACAAACACAACACAAGCCATGTGCTCTCAGAACACAGTGTCATCTGGTGGCCATCATGGGCACACCCGCTGAAGACTGTGACATTTTATTGTCTTCATGCAAATCTCATTTCTCCTCTCTATATTACCAGCCTTTATGAATAAACAATAAGCCACAAAGGAAGAAAGACACACTTCTGTATTCCTGCTGGGTTTAGTGAGGCTTTACTATTCAAATCTCAAATTTCATTTGCATTCAGATTACAAAATTATGCATGAACATGCATTACACTCTTAAAAATAAAGGTGCTTAAAAGGTTCTTCACAGCGATGCCATAGAAGAACCATTTTTGGTTCCACAAAGAACCATTCAGTCAAAGAACCACCTCTTTCTTATTGTTTTATAATCTGAAGAACGCCACAAAGAAGCTTTTGTGAAACAGAAAGTTTCTTCAGATGTTAAAGGTTCTTTATGGAACCATTTAGACAAAAAGCTTCTTCTATGGCATCGTGAAGCACCTTTATTTTTAAGAATGTACGCATTATGCATGGTTCATAACTGAACGTGAGATGTTCAGTGATCACCAGCAATGATTTACGAGAAGATCTCAAAGAACAGAACCACAAACAGCACTGAATGCTTTGACAAACACACTTTCTTTCCTGTATTTTGGCACGTTCCCTATTGAAACAGGAAGCAAGGATGGGCAATATTGAAGATCTTTTAAAGCAAACAGGCTTTAGCTCCATCAGACGAATCATGATTTAGCCAGAGGCAAAGGATCAGTATTCTTGGTTGATTTTGGTTTAACGTGACTGCTGCTGATGAGAAGGAACGAGTCGTCTGTCTGTGTTTTGTCCAGGTCGTGGCTATC